TAATGGATAGTTTTAATTTATAGAACCCGCTCTCAAAGATCTTAGATAAGGAGGTGCCAGTTTCTTACTAAAATTTACATGAGAAACTGAGATTTATACCATGTAACTGAGGAAAGTGAGTTAGGAATATAGTTACACTATGTTCACTCTACAGTCTAAGGGGAGAGATAAGAGGATAAATTTTCAAGAAGACATTTCAGATCTTAGGTGGGTTAAAATGCCCTCTGAAGGTGCATCTCTTCTGATAAAGAAGCCCCCAGGATAACAAGATGGGCTCACTGCTTAGGGGAGGCAATTAAAGTGGGATGGATCTGCATTAGAAATCTGACAAATACCAGAACAATGGTAGCACTGGAAAAAAAAAAAAAAAAAAAAAAAGCAGAAATGTATCTATTCCCAGTCCAGAGTCCTTTTAGCTTTGCAACCTGCATTAATATAACACAGATTTGTTTTGTATTTTGTCTGCTTCTATACCCTTTTTGTGCACAAAACATCACACTGTTTCAGTAAGTTTCTCACAGAGGAAAGACTATACAACTGGAAAAGATAACTGCCATGAAAGCAGCTACATCTTTAAATTATAGCTTTAAGGCAAAAGATGGGAAAGTTCAGAGACTTTCTGCTACGCATTTGTTTAATGCCTAGAAAATTAAAATGGCTCTTTTCACAATCAGTCTGTGAACCTAACCCTCAGCTTTGTACTGCTCCTAGTCAGTTCACTGGAAAAACTGACAGCTTAATAGACCTTGGTGTGAAAAATGAGGCTTTTAGCCACATATTTATTTGGCATTATCTATTCAGCAAACACCTGCAATACCAATGACTTCTTAGAAGTAAAAGGTAAACCAAAATCTCCTACTTTAACATGTGCTGGATTTCCCACTTAGGAGGCTATAAGGAATACATATACAACTAGATTCACTACCATTTTTGAACCAAAGAGCAAAAGTTACAAGCCTAAATCTGAATTTTGTTATCTAAAAAGAAGTTACTAGATTTAAAGAGACTCCGGGTATGAAGAACGTCATAATGGGAGCCAGCTTTGTCTGGTCCTTTGTGAACTTGGCTTTAAAAATTCTTACCTAGTCATTTTTAGACTCTTTCCTTTCAACAGATCAGCCACATAAAATTAGCATTACCACTACAAAAATCTAGCATTTCATTAAACAAATCTATCAGAAGATGTTTCTAAATGGCACAGGAGTAGTCCACATTGGATCAGATTGAGACTTTTTAATTTTTGGTGTTGATTTGATTAATAAAATATGGCCTCAAAAGCATTTCTTTATCTGAGAGGTAAGATGAAAAAATGGTATAAAAACAGAATCAACATGTCTTTATAAACTAGCTCCAAGACAGAGTGGGTCAAAATGGCATTAATGGCAGCCCACAGGTTGCATCTGGCTCAAGATTCAATTCCTCTCAGCCTCAGAGGCGGAAAATGAGATGAGGACAGTGCACAAAACCCAGTATTCAAGGATCTCCTTCTGCCTAGGCATAGCATGATGTGTTAAGGGCGACAAGAGGGTTACACAAGAAGCACACGCGCAGCCAGACATTTAGATGGAGGGGTTCCTGCCATGCCCATGTGAATCACAAGCTGCGATCCAAAACTGGAATCTGATCTCCATCACAGGGGAGTATGGAAAGTTAGCTCTTTCTGTCACTCTGAAGTCACTGTGAAATATATGAATGAATTGTAATAACATTTTATGCTCTTCAATATTTTGTAAATGAATACAAAATATATGTAACTGCAAATCTAAATATAGTCCCTTACAGCTAACAGAAATCAACTAAGTAAGTAATTCAGGGAGGGAGGGAGAAAAAAAATTCTAAAAACATACAAAAAACAGACTTCACTTACTAAGATTCTTCTGTATGGCAGTAATATTTTATTTTAGAGTGAAGCTTTCTTTAAGAAGCCCCATAAAGTTGGTGTTAATAGTTGTACTGAAACATAGCCTAGTTTGTCTGTGAAAGTAAAGTACAAATTAAAAGAAAATGTATTTACTTCTCGAATTTCTTCACCCCATACTGTGTGGACCCCAAATGGCATGATGTCCAACAAACAATTTCATAACTAAAAACAAGTTTATAGTTTGATTTAAAATTTTAAGTGTACTTAAAACCAATGAAAGATGAGGAACCAAAAGCCAAAGAGAATAGTCATTTTTTTAATCATGTAACAGCAGTGCAAACACCCGTACAATGTATCATCCCTTATCTAAAGGAAGCACATTCCACTCCTGCAGGGTACTTCATCCTCCCTTTCCAGCCTTGATTTTTTTTGTTGAGATTGTCAGCAAGCCTGCCAACTTTGTGAATATTCTTAGGAATGTGGAGCCTTATTTCCCTCCAGAATGAACTGAGGCAACCAACTCATTTCACTCTAGGGCATCAGACACAAACAATCACACGCTAACACAAACAGGAGCAGAACAAATAGCAAGCCTTTTTCTCCACGTCCATAAGAAATGAGTGCTTTCTCCAAGTTATATACTTTTACTATTAATAAAACTACTTTTTTCCTGACTGAGCAGGCCTAGACTTTAGAAAGAAAGATGGTAGACACTGAATAAAACAGGTAACGCAAAGTGTAAAATCAGTCCAAAGCCATGTGAAATCTGAACACCAGTAATGGAGGTGAGAGCTCTCTTTAAGGCAAATTCTCAAAACACATTCACTGTTCTTCAGAAAGATCAATAAGCGGTCAATTGCAAAGAGCGCAGATTTTGGTAACAGCTTCCAATGACACTTAACAGGGTACTTTTAAGCTAGTTTTTACAGGCCTCTTTGTCTTGGTACTGGTTTTAGGACAACAATTTGATCAAATACAAAATAACAACAGATAGAGAAGGAGCACTGAAAGGGAGAGGGATAATCCTGTTCTTACTGCTGTTATTGAAATACATACTTTTGTATAGCCTAGAAGAGAGTATCCCACTGGGATTTCTAGAGATTAGTGGACTCGGAAGAGAGAATATATGAACTCCCAGATACGTAACACCAGTGCTGTCAAGAGCATAACGCAAACAAATGGGGGGCGGGGGGGAAGCATGGGGGAAAATCCGCTCAATCTCCTTTCGTCATAGCAATATTAGGGATTATTTAAAACAATAGCAGATTTCTTTCAGATGGAAGTGGTTTTCAAGTTGCAAGCATACTTTTGATTGCGTTTATAAAGTCTAAGTCTATAGCATGCATCAGACAAATTAAGTAATTCAAATTAATAATAGAGTTGCTGATTTGCTAACCTTTTTAATCCTTTAATTTACATGCTGAAATACATTTTAAAAATGGATTTTTAATACTTAAACACATTCACACTGGCAACTTTAATACGCTGATGATGTGATAGGTTAAAGTGTTTCAAGGAGAACATATGGGTCTCTTGATGCTACATTTTGAAATTGCCAAATACATATCCTTGCAAGACAGAAGTAGAAATTAGAGTCTAAGATCTACATTGAGACTGAACCAGACTGTCTTGAAACAAACAGGAAATCCAGATTTTTAAGGCCAGAAGGGACCGCTATGATTGCCAAACTAACTTCCTGCACAAAAGAGCCTGTAAAATTTCATCCCAAAATTCCTGCAGCAAATATTTTGTAACTAAACTGTAGTGAAACATCTGGCTTAGAAACATTGAAAATCACCTAATTCAGAGTCAAGACTTAAAATCTACAAAGACACTGTTTAAAATTTCATGCTGTAAATTATAATACATAAGCCTCACAGTAGACCAGGGTGACATGTTTACAGCAAAATAGGATGAATTATAAGGATATTATTTAGGGATGATACACCTCCATACATGTTCCCAACTGTACTATACATGACTATAATTGCATCAATGACAGTATGATTTATTAAACCATTTCACAGTTTTAAAAATATTTCTACACTGCCATCTGTTAAAATACAATCACAAAATCCCATTCATTGTCTTCAGTTTGAAAATAATTCTAGCAATTTATATGTTTTTACTGTTATTTACATAGTAAACGTTGATTCATAGCTCATACAGAAGGGATATTCCTACGAGGAAAAGGATGAGAGGTCTGACTCTATCCCCATATCTGTTGTGAAACATTCACTTTTTGTTCTTTCCCCCATATTTTGGTATTACCAGATTAGGAGGCTTCAAGTTCTGGATAGATGAGCTGAGTGGAAAAGGATCTTTTACCATTTATTCTTTTAGCATGTTTGAAAATCTTAAATAACATCCTAAATTAGTGTCATGTTTGCAGGGAATCAGAAATAGCATAAGGTCTACAAGTGTTTTCTACCCTCATATGTTCCCCAATTCTTGTTTGAACACTGGAAACCACATTTTCCAAAGCTGCTGCTACACTTGCTGTAATCAAACTCGAGGACAGAACAGGCAAAACATAAGGCTGATTGTCCAATTTTTCCAATGCTGCCATACTATAGGCAAAATATATATTAATTTTATATTGTATTAAAGCATGGAATTCTAAGTTAAAATCACATTTTACTAAAATCACGTTGAAACCACCTTCATATTGGAAAATAAAACTCTTGAAAATTTTATTTAAAATCAGCCTTGAAACTTTGTTTTGTTATTTATTTATGCTTCTACATTAGCCATCGGCTAATGTTTATTCACCAAACAGGTAAAGAATAGACAATAGCCTAAAATCATGCTTTTAAAATTCATTAGCATTTGTAAAAGAGGTTTCTCACAATATCAAATGCCAAGATATTCTCTTGGTGTCTGTTTAAGATCCGTGATGTCTGATTTTTATAAAATATGTATTTAAGGCCAAATTTGACATAACAAGTCTTAAAACATGACACAAATGCTTTTTAAATAGATTACTATAAGTGCACAGATTTTTCTCCCATTTTCAGCGCAAAAGAAAAACAATTTCCATTCCCTATTCAAATACTTTTAATTTCAAATTGTAAGTATGAGAAAAATACAATCTAACAAAATGTAGATGCAAAATGAGATATGAAGCTTCATAGCCCACCTTTCTTCTTGACTGGCATTCTTCTTCCTACTTCTGAGACTGGTTGCAAGCACTTATTTACAGATACAAACGACGTACCACCGGAACACTTTGCGAGGTCTATCTATTGCAAAACACTTTTACAGTTCAGTTATGAAATGCAGCTTGAATCTTCATTTCTACCAGCACTTGCCGATTCCTTGCATTGAGCTTCCGATGCTTCCCACAAATAAGAAAAAAAAGGGGGGGGGGGGGGAAGCTTTTTGAATTTTTTTAAGAGAGGTTTTCAATTTCTTTAAAATATATTTGAATCTATAAAAATACAAGAGAAAGTGTTCCTTGATAGTAAAAAACTCTATTATAACTCCTCTTCTGGCAGCAAAATTTGAAAATTAAAAGATTTTATGTAATACAATTAAGGCACAGTCCATCTCTAGGCAGCTGTCTTAATACTCCACCTTTACATGCTCAAAAATGTATTATTTGCAGGACAAAAACTCCCAAATAATCCAAATAAGGAGGAAGACAAAAACAATCCAAAGTGACTCTTTAAACTTCTTTCACTTCTTGAATGAATTTTGCTAGCTATGTATTAGGTGACTACACATCAGACGGAAAAGGTCCCTTTTTCCTCACCAGACAACAGCCTTCAAATATCACCCTCTTACCCAGCAGAAGTCACTGGCCAGTCACTTTCATTTTTATTATATCCAAGCCACCCAGCCTTAACGGTCTTTAATGTCCCTCTGATCCTCCCATGTATTAAAAGAGAGGATTGGAAAGGAGGAAAGCAATCCCTTGACCTGGTATTATTAAAGTGACAGTGCTGCTCACTGGGCACTTTGGCAGATTGCTTTATACTAGAGTCATTTACTTCATGCCATTTCTTCCCTTGCAAAGCGGTCACCTCGTGAAAGAGGAGTAAGGAGAGTTAGGAACAGAGCTTCACAAAAGGTTCATTTTCAGGGATAATGAAGTGTTAATGAGATAAAAAAAAGCAAGCCATGAGATCAGTCCAGAGTTTCCCACTCAGAGGCGCAGCTGGTTGCCTTCAATACGAGCCTCTCTCTCCCCCTTTTTCTGGAAGAAGAAGAAAAAAAAAAAAGAGAGAGAGAAACAGCAAAGGGATAGATTTCCCTCATCTAGCTTGTTAAGAAAAAGTATGAAAACGGTGCGCGAGCTCCAAACGCTTGCCTTCCCGCACGAGGAGCTGCGATGCACATGGCAGGACTTTGCTTTGCATCCTCTTCCTTAGGAGACGGCAACGGCATTTGT